AACGAATATTCTTAAATATTGTTAGTGACTAAAATTAATTATATTTACGATTTTAAATAAATAGCAAATCTTTGTAACAATAAATACCAGATCTTATTAAATATTGATATCTATGTTTCCAAACTTACTTATTTTAAATACTGCTATCCATGTTTCCAAACAAAAGGTTAAAGTACTTCTACTTTAATAAGATAGATGTCAAATTTCAAAAAAAATAATTATTAATGGCTATGTACTAAAATCAGTTATTTTCTTATTTTAGAATAAATATATCTTAAAAGAAAAATCTAAATAAGGAAACTTTTGTAAATTAATATATCTATAAATTAATAAAATTTTAAAGTTCGTAACATTATTAATTTATAGAGGTTCTATTAAACTAATATCTAGTGATCAAATAATTTGATATACAAGTAAGTTAATATGATATACCTACTTGAAAAAAAAAGAAGCTAACATGATTTACCAAAAGATCTTACAAAATATTAAACTAATTAAGATATATATACCATAATTTCTTGATGGAATAATCTACAGAGAGCATGATGTGCAAGTTAATATACTGTAAAATAACAAAAGATGTTACATAATAATTATGAATATTCAAGAAATATATATCATAGCCATTTTTAGAAGCATGATACAGTATTTAATTCCCTTCCTTGGCATGTATAAATACATGTATACAAGAAAACACACACCCACACAAACAAAAAAGTCTTGATCTCTCGTAATTTTGCTTTAGCTTACAATGTCGTCGAAAATTTTGACTGTCTTCCTCCTCCTATCTCTTGTCTCGATGCACCAAATCCCCGTGGTGACATGCAGACAATGGTGTATGGCGATGCCTAATGTTTCAGATGAGCAGTTACAAGCCAACATTGACTACGTTTGCAACAACGGCGTGGATTGTACACCGATTCAACCAGGGGGAGTATGCTATGAACCAAACACTCTTTATAACCATGCGTCGTATGCGATGAACGCTTATTACCAGAATCATGGTCGCGTGGAAGACTCTTGCAGGTTCAACCGCAGCAGTTGTTGGGTGTTTGTCGACTCATGTGTGTACTAGAAGCAATTTAATTGTTTTAAAATTGCGTCATTATTTACTAGTTTTTATTTTATTTAATGGGTTCCAATAGTATGCCCAAAGGTTTTTATTTAGGTGTCTATAACTTGTATTTGGCTATCTATTTGCTTGAAATTTGGCTTTTTATAATATAAGTTTTTATTTGATTTGTGTACCATCTTTTAAACAAGAGAAATGAGTAGTACAACACATAAACTAAATATCTTATGGATCGAATAAATACGTACAACATAACTCGTCATTAATAAGAAATCCTTATCTCGTGGTAATCTCTAGTAATATATTTTTGTTTTGGATGAAAGTTATTCATCTAACCTAGCTACAGATTTCTAATAATATACTGGGTTCTTTAAGACAAATGTTTAAAGAAAAAACTGCTTTACAAAAATAAAATTTATAAAATAAGAAAATTGTGTGTTTTATGAATGTTAACTATTCAAAATAATAAATAAATTTCAAAAAACTATTTAAACTATGACTGGTTTAATGTTTATGAAATTCGATAATCACATAAAATTATTTATGTACAATAACAATTAACGTATTTTTAATATGTGGGAGATATAAAAATCATAAAATATATACTACTTTGAATATTTTTTTGAATAGGTCAAATGGATTTTAAACTACATTAAAATCTCTATAAATTAATAATGTTAGTATTTTTATATTTTATTAATTTTAGAATTTACTAATTTAAAATAATCTAATTTTCAAATTAATGTATTTTTAATTTTATGTAAAATATAAAATAGTTGCTTTTACTTGTTATGTAATCACTATATTTAATGGAATTATTTTTTTAATTTTTGTATATATGTAATATATAATGTAGATGAAATTTTAGATATTATTCGATAAGATAATATAAAAGTAAATATATATTTTTAAAATTATTGTAAATAAATAGAAATAATATAATAATTATTAATTATTAATTTCTAGTATTAGTTTTTATTTTAGAATTTTAAAATTTGTATTAGTTTTTTTTGAACAAAAAAACTTATATTAGTTAGAGTGTTTTACTGCATATATAAAACTTAAAAAAAACACAGTAGTATTTTGATATTTTCTAAAGTATTTTGATTATTTCTTGTACAGTATCTATATATATATAAAGTATAGTTTCATCCCTCCTTAAGATGCCATGTAATCAAATAAGGAAATGAGAGAATGACACGTGGTGTTTTTCTTATGACTTTGTTAATTTTCGGTTTGTGTTAGTCATGGGCTTCACGAGTGCAAATTTTGTGATCTTTGATTTGTGTTATTTGGGCTGGAAACTGTAAACAAAAGGTTCTTTGTATATCTCCGATGAGGTTAGCAACTATGGAGTTTTTTGTAAGTAACCGACTACTTCTACTCTTTATTGAATTTCGTAACCGTTACGGAAGTCGGACAGATTCATGCATTCTCATTGATCATACTAACACCAATTTTCCACTACTCACACGATTTATCATTCATTGAATCTTCTCTTGAATCCTTCATTATATAAAAGTAAGTTTCCTGACCCAAAAAGTCATTAGTTCATTCCTCTCAATCACTTGCATCCATACTTTTTCAGCGACTGTTATGGTGACCTCCCCCCCTGTTACTCGACGATTTGAAGGCCGGCCACAGTAGCTCCACCATCGAAGTGTGTCTCTCAAATTCTAGGAGGTTTGGAATGTCAAGAAATCTGGCGACGTTATGGGTTCTGGAATGCTTCTCCTTGCTGCAAAAGTAATTCCGGAGACCAAACACATTATCACCTCCAGTTTCATGTAAAGTTTATACTTTCCAGTTTCATAGAAAAGCAATCTACTTTGTTTTCTATCACTTTTAGCTTCATCCGTCTGAAACCTAGAAGACATGCCTAATGTAAAGCGAGACAAATCAGGTCTGAACTCTTTCTTCCTTCTCTCTCATGGTTATGTTTCTTGAAACTATAGCATCCTCATTACTGAGCTAGGAAGCTGTGTCTTCTTCTATAGACGTTGTCAGTAGTTTAGAGTTTTTAAGATCATTTAAAAGAATCCTTTTGCATATAGCCTAGACCTTTGCTTATATTATCGAATCAGATGATGAAAGGTTACTAAAAGTAATGTTTGTTTTTGTTGTTATTGTTATTGCAGTTACTTTTTCGAAGAAAAAAGAAGAAAGAAAGGGAAGAAGCCCAAGGAGACTATTCTAATGGAATCAAAGAAGCTGTCGAGAAATATAATTATGTCTATGTTTTTTCTTTATCAAATTCAAGGAGTTCAAACTACAGTTTAGACACAATGGAAGGTCAGTTTCTTTGTTTTTTTTTATAACTACGAGTAGATGGGCGTTGCTTGAATGTAATTGAGATGGTTCTTATTGGTTCAGGTTCTTCTTCAGCTCAAACAAAGTGATGAGGGTTGGTCTGGGTCGTTCTGCCTTTTAATCCATCCCACCATCTTGATTCTTTAAAGCCTCCAAGGTTGTGTACCTTGCTTCTTTACCATAGTTGATTTATTTGGTCTTTTCCCACCAGTTGGGTTTTTACATATGTTTAATGAAATATTTTTTCAGCTGCTGCTTGGTGATGTTGAACTTCGTATTGAGGTTGAGAGGGTATCATCACTCCCGAAGCCCTCTTTTGTTTTTTCTATCTTCTTCGGTGAAAACAACAGTGAACGGCTTAAATGTAACCATCTCTCTCATGGCTTTCCAGTATCTTTAATTCTTTATTGTAACTGTTTCAAAATGTTTTTTCTGGTTATCATTGTAGCTTATTTAACGCTTATGAAGATTAAGAATTTTCAAGGACTGAGCACAGCAGTAGAAACGGGTTGTGACCAAAACAACTGCTGATAAGAAACAAGCATGACTTTTTATTATCATTACTGATAACTCTGTTTTTGTAGAATTAATTATGAGAGTTACCCTCGACTTAATAGTTTTTGAAGACTGAAAAACTCTTTTTTGGGTAAACTGAGATTAATGAAAACCTCTTTCTCCTCAATCTTCTCGCATTTTGATAAATAAAACATTATATTCCAAAAAACTTTCTTTTTATATGCTTTCTAAATATTGAATTTCAATAATATGATTATATTTTAAAAATGATTTCGTAAACAGATGTGACTTGATACGAAAATATAGCATATAATATATTTTAAACATGATATATGTATATATACTAAATAAATCTAAAATAATTAACTAAAAGTAAGATGATTCCTTTTAATACTAAAATTTATAATAAATTTGTTAAATAACAATAGATTAACTATATATTCTATAAATAATAAAAAAATATAAAATAAAATACAAAAGTAATATAAAAATAAATGAATCACTGATTATAAAAATATTATATTTCTTTTAAAGAAATAATCAGTTTGGATAATATGATTATTTGATATTTCAAATATATGTGCATACTTTAAAATAGGAACGACAAGTATTATATTTTGTACTATCTAGCTAATTAAAAATTATAGTAAATCATTATTTTTTTTTTTTTTATATTATGTAAATAATATGTTTAAAATAATGTATAGATAAAACTGAGAGATTCAATGGGTTTAAAGACAAAATTAGAAGTAGAAATAATTTATAATTCATAAAGTGAATTTGAACAACAATAAAAAACAAATCAAGTAAATAAATGTATTTTACTTGCGGATTAAAGAGAGAATGAACATTGAAGAAATGTAAAATATTGACAATTGCATCATTACATTTTAAAATTCAATTTATTATTTTCACCAATAATAATTTAAACTAAACTGAATATTTAAGCTGCGAGAAGCCTATAAGGAGGAAGAGCAGTTTTGGATGCAGAGGAGTAGAATCCACTGGCTTAAGAGTGGAGACCGTAACACAGGATTTTTCCATGCTGTAACCCGTCAGAGACGCATGATTAATTCCTTCTCTGTGATAGAGAATGACGAGGGTAATGAGGTATACGAGGAAGAGCAGATAGCAACGGTCATTACCAAGTATTTTACAGATATTTTTACAACAAATGAGAATGGAGATTTCTCAGCAGTAGCCAATATCCTAAGCTGCAAGGTGACTGATGAGATGAATGATTTCCTCACGCTTATACCGAGTGATTCGGAGATTAGAGAAGCGATCTTCTCCATCAACAGCGGCAAGGCCCCGGGGCCAGATGGTTTCTCAGCGAAATTCTATCAGTCGTACTGGCACATCATCAAGGAAGACGTCATCAAGGATATTCGCCAGTTTTTTATCACGGGTTACTTGCACCCACAGCAAAATGAAACCCACATCCGCCTAATTCCTAAAGGAACTAGCCCGCGACAAGTTGCGGACTACAGGCCCATAGCTCTTTGCAACACTCATTACAAGATCATCGCGAAGATCCTTTCACGCCGTCTTAAACCAATACTGCCAGCATTAATCTCCAAATCTCAGTCGGCTTTTGTGGCGGGTAGAGCGATTGGTGATAACGTACTCATCACGCATGAGACTTTGCACTTCCTTCGAACTTCGGATGCCAAGAAGTTTTGCTCTATGGCCGTCAAGACGGATATGAGCAAAGCTTATGATCGAATGGAATGGGGGTTTATCAGAGCTGTCCTCACTCAATTGGGTTTTGACGAGAAATGGATCCAATGGGTTATGTGCTGTATCGAGACGGTATCGTACTCCTTCCTAATTAATGGAGCGCCACAGGGAATCGTAAAACCATCACGTGGAATACGTCAAGGAGACCCCCTGTCTCCATATGTCTTCATCCTATGCACTGAAGTTCTCTCGGCTTTGTGTGAAAAGGCGCAAGTAGACGGCTCTCTTCCAGGGATCAAAGTGGCGAGGGGAAGCCCTCCGGTCAATCATTTATTGTTCGCCGATGATACTATGATTTTTTGTAAGTCAAGTCCAAGGTGTGTGGCTGCTTTACTGAAAATCCTGCAGACATACGAGACTCTCTCGGGACAAAAGATCAACTTCTCCAAGTCTGCGATTACTTTCTCTGCAAGGACACCTCCTGAAGTTAAAGCACGAGTAAAGCTTGCTCTATCTATTGAGGCAGAAGGAGGAGTGGGGAAATATTTGAGACTCCCTGAGTTATTTGGCAGGAAAAAGAGAGATATTTTTGCTTCCATCATTGAACGCATCCGGCTTAAGGCTAGAAGCTGGACGACTAGGTTCCTATCGGGAGCCGGAAAACAGGTCCTGCTCAAGGCAGTCCTTGCAGCTATGCCGGGATATGCCATGTCCTGTTTTAAAATCCCAGCCTCGTTGTGTAAGCAAATTCAGTCCCTCTTGACGCGTTTTTGGTGGGATGCTAACCCGGAAAAACGCAAAATGTGTTGGGTGGCGTGGTCTACTCTTACACAACCGAAGCATGCCGGAGGACTCGGGTTTCGTGATATTGAATCTTTCAATGACGCTCTACTGGCTAAGATTGGGTGGAGGCTCATATCTGATCCTAACTCATTATTGGCTCGGGTTTTACTTGGCAAATATGCAAGAGATTCTACGTTTATGGACAGTACGTGCCCATCTTCGGCCTCCCACGGGTGGAGAAGCATCATCGCAGGAAGAGAGATTCTCAGAAAAGGGCTCAGCTGGGCGATAGGAAACGGAGAAAGCATTAGAGTTTGGCAAGATCCTTGGTTGTCTTGTGAATCGCCTGTAACGCCTTTTGGCCCCGCTTCTCTACAAGCTTCTTCCCTGCGGGTTAGTGACCTCCTCTGTCCTCTCACTAATTCTTGGGACCTTCAGAAGATCCGTCTCCACTTACCTCAGCATGAGGGTGACATTCAGAAGCTAATTACTAGCGCTGCTCCCTCGGAAGATAAGATGGTTTGGTTATTTGACAAGTCCGGAAGTTACACAACGCGTTCTGGATATGGAATCGGTAGGAGGGAAGCTCTGCCATATCAGGAAGGACCCACCTTTGAATGGATGAAGCTTATTTGGAATGTTCCCACTGCACCTAAAATTAAAGATTTTTTGTGGAAGCTGGTTAGGCGAGCGCTGCCGGTAAGTTCAAACTTAGCGGCTCGGGGAATCACATCGTTTCCATGTAAAACATGTGGAGGGGTAGAGGATAGTGGCCATGTTCTTTGGAGCTGCGAAGTGGCGACTGGAGTGTGGGAACTAGCTCCAGTGATGAATAAACCGAACTCACTCTCTACATCGCTGCAGACTTTTATCTCAGATTGTCATAGACTGGTGAATTTGCCGCCGTCAGGTATCACAATTCCCTTATGGCCTTGGCTGCTATGGCATCTCTGGAAGGCACGAAATAAGCGTTGTTTTGAGGATCGCGTATACTCCAGTATGGAGATTGTTGCAAAAGCCATAAATGATGCGAGGGAGTGGCAGTCGGCACAGGGGCGCTCTGTTTCAGTTGACCCTGGTTCATTACCACATGGCCCTCGGGGGGCAATAGAAAGCGTACCACCACGGACTGACCCTCATATGCTCTCATGTCATGTGGATGCGGCTTGGGATGCGGCCTCCAACTGCTGCGGTCTCGGTGGAGTGTTCTCAGGCCCACCATCTATCTCTCTCCCCCCTCAGTTGAGAGAGTCTCGTTCCTTTGTTTCTTCAGCTTTAATGGCGGAAGCCCTTGCTGTGCGTTTGGCAGTCATGACTGCGGCCTTCTCAAACATCAAATGCCTAGCTATTCTGTCGGATTCGCTCACCCTCATCAAGATATTGAGAGGAAGAGAGTCTCGACCAGCTTTGTTTGGTATTGTGTTTGATATCTACTACTTTAGTTCTTATTTTGATGTATTGTCTTTCTCTTATGTTCCTCGGTTGTACAATGGTGAAGCAGACAAAGTGGCTAAGTCTGTCCTCACTGAAAAACTCACCTCCTCTGTTGGAGTGTAGGATCCTTTATTTGAATGAATGAATTTGTGTTTGCCCAAAAAAAAAAAAAAAAAAAAACTGAATATTTAAAAATGTATTTTCCAGTTGATATATTTTCAATTGTATACCCGTCCGTAGGGCGGGTTTGGTCCTAGTATAGAAATATACAATTAGGGAAAGTCCGAAAGTCAGCACGCATCCGGTTTAGTTTCCGTATTAGTGGGATACATCTGAGTTCTGACAAAACAGTATAAACAAACAGAGAGAACAAAAAAACTCAAAGAAAAAAAAAGCTTTGGAAGATTCAAATCAAATCCATGTCGAGAGAGAGAACCAGACGTGAACTACCTCCCGTTCAAGAGGTACCCTTTTGACTCATATCATCTCTTCCTCTCCTATTCAAAATCTTATCCTCTTTTTTTTTTTTTTTGAAATTGTTATAGCATATTGATAAGTTGAAGAAAGTGATAGATGAAGGCAATTACTATGGAGCTTTGCAGATGTACAAATCCATCAGTGCAAGGTACCTAGTTCATTTCCTTCACAAACCCAAATCTTTTTTTTTATTTGGATTCTGTTAATTCGGTTAAAGTTTAGATTTTTATATGAATTTGAGATATAAAGCATGAATCTTTATTTAGAGCAGATATGTTACGGCTCAGAGATTCTCTGAAGCTCTTGATGTACTCTTCTCAGGTGCATGTCTAGAACTAGAACACGGCCTGGTTTGTTCCTTTTCCTTCTTTTTTTTTTGTTATTTATTACATTATGTCATTATCTAATCTATTGATATTAGGTTGTTCTGTAGATGTGTGTTTTTTTTAATTAAAAGCAATTTATTCTCAGGTGAATTGTGGGGCAGATCTTGCTATTTTGTTTGTTGACACACTAGTTAAAGCCAAGTCAACTTGCAATGATGAAACTCTTGGTTAGTGTTTATAATCGCTAGAACCCCATCATCATTGGACTTCTTTTTGTTTTTTTTTTATAGTATTTTGTGTGTTCAGATCGTATCAGGTGTATGTTCAAGTTGTTTCCTCGAGTTCCTGTACCACCTCATTTAGTAGATGTGAGTGATGATGAAGATGTGCATAATCTTCATGAATCTCTTGGGGAAGCTAGATCACGTGTAGAGAATTTGACCTCCTTCTTGAGAGCTGCTATAAAGTAAGCCTCCTTTTTTCTTTGCTGTTTGATGTGAACATGTATAAAACATTTTGTCTTTGTTTTTTTAGATGGTCTGCAGAGTGTGGAGGACCAAAAACTGGATACCCTGAGTTGCATGCTATGCTGGCTGATTATCTATACACCGAGTGTCCTGAACTTGTAATCTTCTTGGTTATACAATTTGTACATTCATTTATAATATCTCATTAACTGACTTCTTTTTTGTATATATCTGACAGGACATGGTTCGAATATCACGGCATTTTGTTAGAGCCGAGGACCCTGAGAAGTTTGCAACTATGCTCATAAACTTCATGGGAAGGGTTAGTGTATTTGTTTCAACACCTCATCTCACTATTGAGAAACTGTAGCACTTAGATATTCAAGACTCTTATACATGGTTTCACTTGCATACTACTTTGCAGTGTTATCCTGGTGAAGATGACCTTGCAATAGCACGAGCAGTTCTCATGTAAGTTCATGATAATTCTAACTAGAGTCACAAGATTGTGAGGTGGGAGATGAATTGAATTGTGTTTTTTTCGCATTTTAGGTACTTATCTATGGGTAACATGAAAGATGCAAATATGATAATGGATGAGATTAAAAAACAAGCAGAGACAAAACATCCTGAGTTCTCAGAATCAGACCTTATCCAATTTACCTCATATCTTCTGGAAACGTTAGTTCTCCTCTATAGATATTCATCTTCTCTTTAGTATTCTCTTGTTTTCTTGTTGTTACTTTGATGTACCAAACAGGTTGCAGAGAGATGCATTGCCTCTTTTCAATATGTTAAGAGTAAGGTATAAGTCTTGCATAGATAGAGAACCACTACTTAACGAGGTAATACAATGATCAAAACACTCAGAGAGAGAGATTTGTTTATCATGTTAACGAGACTTAATGTTCTTGGAAAATTTTGTTTATCTTTGTGAAAGTTGCTGGACGATATTGCAGAGATATTTTACGGTGTGCAGCGTAATAATCCTTTAGAAGGAATGTTTGGAGACATCTTAAAGGTAAAATAAAAACCTTATGTATATCTCCCACTTATTTCATATCTTGAAGTTACACTGCTTGAACCATTGAAACTCCCTCTGTGTAGATGATGGGCTAAGGAAGTAGATAGAAGAGTCAATAATACTCTGTTTCTTTCCCCTTCTTGATTTTGTATTTGGCATTGTTCTAATAAAGGGATAGCTCTCTGGAGAATTCTCCAGTGTTGTTTCTTGTAACATTATACATTGTTAACTTCATTTTACATATGAACATAAGCAAATGCTTTTGCATTGAACTCTCTTGTGACCAGAAGGTTTACACTCAACCACCAACTAAGAGTGTTTTGACAATCTTATCAACATTCCCATCAAGAAGCGAGAAGAAATGGCCTGATCCTGCTATTTCATGGTACCGAATCCAAGCAAGTTTTGATACTATATAACGTTGAAGCATCACAGACAAGAACCAATCATCATCACCTTGCCATAGATGAACTAAACCTTCATTGTCCGGGAAAGGGTTTTGAACATCTAAAGGATCGAATTCCCAGTTGCCAAATCCAACTATCAAGTCACGGTGTAAGCTCTCATATTCTCCTTGTTGCCTTGTGTGTGCCTGAAAAGTAAAAAACAGAATAAAGAACCAAAAACATTATAGTGGTCTTATACATGATATACCTGATTAGGCCGCTTGAATCCAAGTTTAGACAAGATGGTCATGTCTTGAGGACAAAGAATCTCGCGGTTTCCAGAGATTATACTGAAGACAGGGAACCATCTCTGAGTGTTCCACCAATAGGTTAGCCAAGGCATGTAGTGAGCCACCCTAAGTGCCCATCGGTCTCTAGGTAGCAAAGCTGATAAAGCTTCCTTTGACATGTTGACCGGTAAGTTTCTCCACCAGAAGTTGATAACCGGCGCAACTAGCGTCACTCCGGCTAACCTAAACCACATCTTTTTCTCAAACCAAACCAAGATAGGGACACAAAGTTTACTTCAATAGCAAAGTTACCTATGAGGGATGTAATGAAGACAAGACCAAGTGATTTGACCACCAAGGGAGAAGCCAAGGACATAGAACTTTGGTCCTAATCCTAACCCATCAGCAAGTTGTTCTATATCCAATGCTATGCTTCTTGGTGTCCGGTTCGGGTCAGGATCACTCTCTCCATAACCGGGTCGGTCAAATGATACACTGTATATCATAAGTTCCTCCACAAGACCCTGTCAAAATTCTAAACCTTGAAATCCTCTGTATGAAATCTATCAAGATTATATTTAAGCCTAACCTGAGATATAGAATTAGAGAAGTAAGCATCGTGTCTACATGAATCAAAGCCGTGAATGTACACAATCTTGTATCTGGCTATGTCTCTTGAAACTCCATGTTCTTTGTAAGCTAAATGCCTTCCATCTCTTAGTTTGACTCTCGGTGAAGTAACGGAGAAAGTCTTAACCGGTGGAGGTTGGATTGATTGGTAAAAACATGCCGTGAATAATACGGCTAAAGAAACAAGTAGGAACGTTTTCACAACTCCTGCAAAAAGGGAAAACGAATCAGTGTTGTAGAAGCAAACAGAGAACAGAACAGAGAGGTTTCTTACCATTACAAGAAGATCTTCTTTGTTCATTGACCAAAGCTGCTGAGATATCTCTAGACATTTTTTTTTCTGTCACAAAACTCTTGAGATGAAGGTTGACCAAAAGGTCTGCTCTGTCTCTTCAGAGTTTGGGTTTATTCTATATTTTATCTCAAAAACTAGCAGAAATGCATAGTATATTTTCAAAGTTAGTAGTATATGTTTAGTTAAGATGCTTTTTTTTTTGGTTTTATGCATGCATAAAGGTTATAAACTTATAATAATACCAACAAAGACCAACGAGAGTGCGACTTTTACAATGTAATAAAATCCATTAGAAATTAGAACACACTAATAAAAAAAGGTATATCAATACAAAGACAACACAATACAAGAAACAAACAAATGAAAACTATGAACATCTTATTTTTATCTACCAAACAATTTCATACATAAAAACATAATATATATATAGTTACCATGATATATAAAGAAAGTATAGTAAGCTGATATAGAATCAGTCATTATCACTCACTCATCACTGATTCCAAACTCAGGAAGGATCCAGCCATTGTCCATGGCCTTACCAACATACAACTCAAACTTCTCTTTAGCATTCGGTATATCAAGAGACAAATCATCAAGGCTGTCTTTAACACGACCAAACCCTTTTGTCATTTGGTTCATTGTAATCAACCCTTCACCAAAACATTCCTCAAGCAGATTCAACAACCCATCATTCTTCTTCTCCATTGCCATCACCAAAGCTTTCTTCACCACCTCATGGTTAAAAAACGGCATCCCTAGATCACGGATACATTGACAAGCTTCAGATGTTACTCCACCAGTTTCATATTCCTCCAAAAGCTTCAAGATCTTGTCCTTTGCATCTTCCACTATCCACCCGCTCCCACCTCCCCAGCTTCTCAGCAGTCTCTCCCCTGCGTGTCTGGCTGAGATGAGAGACCGTGCTGAGCGGACTGTTTCGGTTCCTGTTGAGTTTGGAGGTAGCTTGGCTGAGATATCCTCCAGGTTAAGTGGAGCTAAGACGTCATCGATTACAGCTCTAGCAAGAAACAGAGCGAGTTCGTTAGATGCGTCCATGATGTCTAAAGCTGTGTCTTCTGCTGATTCAAGAAGCATGATGAAACCGTTTATGAAATCTTCTGTTGAGAATAACTCCACGTGAAGAGAAGAGAGAAGCACTGAAGCCATTTCTTTTTCTCTGTTCTTCTTGTCTAGAGCAAGAGTTATAAGCTTCTTTAGAAACACAGGGTTGTGTTCAGGTGTTGCTAGATCTTCAAGACTTCGGATTAGCTCAGGAATGTCATCTGATAAGAAATATTCTTGAATTATATTCACTGTATCTTTCTTGTACTGTCTTAGCTTCTCTTCTTGACTTGATTCCCCTCCATTTACCTTAAAGGAATCATCAAGCCAGCCTCCAGAGATAGCCTTTGGAACTATAGAATCAAACAGCTTCTTAGCAGATGGGATATCTAGAGCAAGATCATCAAGAGACTCAGCAACTCTATTGAATCCTTTCACCATTTGACTAGAACTGATCAGACCTTCCTCAGCAGCTTCTTTCAACAGCTTTAATACGAGTGGCTCAGATGTCTGAGACTCCATAGCAAGAACCAAAGCTCTCTTCACCACCTCGTGATGGAAAAACGTGACACCTAACTCTCTGATGCATCTACACGCTTCGTTAACATCTCCGTTTTCTACGTATTCCTTCAAGATTTCACTTATCTTCTTCTTGGTTTCTTCAACTGTAGTGTGAGTGCTACCTCCCCATTTCCTCTCCACTAGCTCCGCGTGGTGAGGAGCCGAGAGGTAGCTCTTCTCCGCAGTCACAACAACCTGGTAACCTTTTGAAGACTCTGGAAGGTTCTTCTTAGATCTAGCTAGAAAAACCGGAGGGAGAATCTCATCAACAATAGCCCTAGCGATAAACAACGCAAGAACATTAACAGCATCAGGTATGTCCACCGCAAGGTCATCAACAGATCTAAGAAGTCTTATAAACCCATCCCTAATCTGATCAGGTAAAATAACATCAGCATACAACGCAGAGAGTAACACAGAAGCCATTTCCTTCTCCTTATCGTGCCTGTCCATAGCCATAGAGACAAGTCTCTTGGTGAAGTAAGGATGATATTCACTAGAACCAAGCTCCCTAAGATCAGAGGCTGCAACTTTCACATCACCGGTGGTGAAGTACTCTTCAATAATGGAAACTACAGCCTTTTTGTAATCATCCAAAGGGTCTGATACAGGTGAATCAACAAGTTCATCATATGCTCCCTGTTTGTCACAAAGTAAGCCAGTGAATCAATCTACTAGTAGAGAATAGAACCAACCAGATGCTAGATGCTATACCTAAACAATCAATCAAAAAAAGTACCAAAAAAAACTACCTCTCCACTATCGTAATTGGGATCGTTTTTATCGAGAAAGGAGTCAACATCAGTGTCAAGAAGCTTTCCCCAAGTTCCTTTCCCACCAGCACCATCTGCAAGTACCATTGCCACATAAGTAAAACCATATCAACTACTCAACTACACAATCATATGCCACTCAAGCCAAAAACCGCCAAAAATTTTGAAGAAAATTACAGAAAAAAAGCCCACAATTTTGTAGAATTTTTTTTTTTTGTTGGTAAAAATGTCAAAAGGTCAACCATACTAGTACTTGACACGCTTAATTGCGGAGTTCTGATGGGATCCGGTGCATTAATGTTGGTATGATCGCACCAGCCTGAAAATCACTGGGCGGTCCTATACAACCCCGAAATTAGATACAGACAAACCCCCAAATTTGTAGAAATTTTTATTTACCTAAACCCTTACTAAATCATCTACAACCCCCAAAATCTCAGGACCTACCTATACACAACTAAACTCTTCCGTATCTGTAATTCTGTATTATCAAGGATCTATCTATCTATCTATAAAAGGGTTTAATAAAAGTTTAAACCTTTCTTAACACGGATATGTTTCCCAGAATGAGTCCTTCGCACATGCCTAAAAGGAAACCCAGCAACCGGTCCTTTCCCACCAGTGGGAGACTTAATATTCAAATCAGCAAATAAAGGCTGAGACTTTGGCGACGACGACACCGCCGCCAAATTCTCAGCGTTCCTCTGAGTTGCTATTTCAAGTTTCTTCCACTGTCCATCCGTTAACATACCTCCCTCACCTGATTCCATCTGAAACAATAAAACTAATCAGAGAGACGATGAAAAGTTCTTCCCTTTCACAGCAAAACAATAACTTTACACACACACGTGATGATATTGAGATTCTAAACAAATATTACAAGAAGAAGAATCTATACATGTGATTTGCACGAAGCGATTCCAAAACAGTGAAAGAGGAGAGAGATGTGTTACTCTGCTTGGCTCGGATCTTGAGCCAAGACAGGAGATGATGATATTGATTGAAACTCCCAGAAGAAGAATCAACGTCGAGGAAGATAACGATCACTCCACTAAGATTCAAAAGTCGCCGATTCCAAGATAGCGACTAGAGAAAAAGGAAATGGATCAGGATCCCCAAAAAAAAATTTAATACAGTACTATAAAATAAAGTTTGTTATGTATGATTGTACACGTCATCAAAACAAGACGTGGATGTCTTTTTAGTTTTGTCTTTTCGTAACTTTTTGTTTTGCTTTTAAATTCGGATGCATCTAAATGGGCCGTAGGATGACGTTAGGCCCATATAGTTAGCTATTTTGGGCTGAATTGGTTAAATAGAAATAGTGTAAAAATATTCCAAAGAGTAGTTTGGATACCTCTGGAAGATTTATCCATGACAAGTCGATGTGTTATCAAAATGATCAGTTTCATTGTTGTAGTTCAAAACGAGAGGAAGTATAAAAATTATCAAGTTTAAGTGTCGAATGAAATCACTATTATCACACAACTATGTGATTATCACAAATTTTTCAGCAGAAAAAACTTATGTAATTATCAAGTCCCTTAGCTATGTAATTATCATAATGATGTGCTAGCTCAGTCTGTAGCATGAATCCTTATCTTCTTAATTCTTATGCTGGCAAGTATATATGGATATTGTATATATATGATCTAATCTGAATTGATGATGGTTATGGAGTGACTAATCAACATTGTTTTTATTTGTTATTTTAGTGTGTGTAGAATTATTTGAATAACACTGACAATGAGAAGAAGTTGGCAAGTAGTTTTCAAGCAAAACCGTCGCACATGCCTTTTGTCTGAAATCTCTCTTTTTTTCTAATATGACCTTTCCTTTATATCTACCACCATAAATCTAACGACTCTGCTTGTTGTTTAGAAATGTCAATTTTCTCTTTTCATTGTACATTATTGTTTGTAAGACATTTTCAACTATCGCAACCAAAGAAAAAAATTGAAAGTTGGAATTATTTCCCACGGCAACCCCAAAAAAAATCTAGTGAATTACGCAGCCGAGCTTTGTCCAGAACACTACAAAAGATTATTAGTAAATTTAATATTAATATCCAAATGTTCAGGTTTCACTGTTTCAGTTTGGTATAACATCCAAAATCGTATGATGTACGTGAACCAAAGTAAAATGCTATTGTAGTAAAAGAAAACCTAGGTGGTTGAATTATATATTATTATGCTTTCTAGTTACTTGTTTTCATGGTAAAATGTGATCAGTTAGCATTCTATGATCTTGTAGTGTAATGAAAGCTTGATAGGTTATATCTAGTTTAGCCTTTTTCAGCAATCAGAATTTCATGAATTTGTCAGTTTCCAAGTTTTGGTCACACCAGAACAGAATATCTAATAAGTATGTTTCTTGATCATGCTACAAATAGAGAATGGATATTCAAAATTATATAATTCTGTTTTTTTTTGTTGTAAATATCCCTTTCTTTTAAAGAATGTTGTAATATCCTGGTAATGGTTTATTATGTTCTATGCAATGTGTGTCCTTATACACACCATTCTTAATCTATGTAATGATTTGCTGGTAATAGTAATGATTATTGCCTTGGTTGTAATAATGCTAAAAATATGGAAGAGTTTTTTCATCAACGTTATAGCAGAGAAACTCAAGACAATAATAAAAAAATGGATGTAGCAAAATAAAATGTCGGTAAGACGTACAATTATATAAGCTGATCTGAAATATAATAAGATAAGTAAAGTGTGGAGGACATATAGTGACCCAAATAGTTTCCATGTGCATTTAATTTTCAACACATTTTACACCAACCAAAATTTCCAATTATTCGATATGAAAAGATGTTAAATAAATTTTATTAGTGAAATGTACTGAAAGATTGGCCTTTGAACACATGGTTCAATGGCCCCAAAATCAAATCGTCTATCGGCCAGTGTCAGCTCAATTCTCCTATTATGTTTTTTTTTGGTGTGGTTGTTCTCTTCTTCTTCTTTGATCTGAGCAATAATAATAATTTCACCAGTACTACAAAAGTACACTAACACACTGTTGACTTTTGGGCCAAACTAATTAGTGTTCACCAACATTCATCTTTAAGTTCGTTGTGATTTAATTGCGGGTTCTCTTTTTCTCTATAACCCATGTGACTCAATGCTCAATATCACCTGCATGTTTGTATATTGAATGTTACTGGAATGGTGGAAACTTAACGTTAAATGCATACACATGAGAGTAGGTTTGACATTCGGGATTGAAATTTTATTAACTTCATTCATTTAAAAATATTGCGCTGTTCTTCTCCCTATATGATTTAGGTTGATTTTAATTTTAACACAAAGAAAAAAATCATTTCACATCTAGAGATAAGAGAAACAAAGTTACAGGCTAAGAAAAGTGGGTCCAATTAACCTCAACTTGCATGTGCATTAAATCACTCAATGTGTTCGTTCATGTGCTATATAGTCTAATATGTTTCTTTGTCTTTCTCCCTTCACTCATATGTTTCGTACTAAAACCTTATAACGTTATCAACAACAAGAAGCCAAGAACACAATGCTAAACTTCTCACATGCATCCTTTGCACTTATCTTTCTCTACTGCATTTTCTTCTCCTCGCTCGCTTTGTCCTCTCCAGTTTCTGACCCCGAGCTCATCGTTGAGGAAGTACACAGGTATTGTAACACAAAATGTACAATTTACACTTGAAAATTTCCCCAAAAAAGCTTGTCTTAAATTTCATTCGTTATTTTAATCTTATCGTACGTAACCGGACTTGTTTATTAGCTGCATTAGCAAGTTACGTACGTCTAGAACAATGCAAATATTTTTATTATATATCGTGTATGTTAATTGTTTGATATTTTAGGAAAATAAACGAGTCTATATCAAGAAGAAACTTAGGATACTTCTCGTGTCAGACCGGTAATCCCATCGATGATTGTTGGCGATGTGACAAAGACTGGGAGAAAAACCGGAAACGGTTAGCTGATTGTGGAATCGGTTTTGGAAAAAACGCAATAGGTGGCCGTGATGGTGAAATTTACGTGGTCACCGATCCGGGAAACGATGATCCAGTAAACCCTAAACCCGGAACCTTAAGATACGCAGTGATTCAAGATGCACCACTCTGGATCATATTCAACCGAGACATGACGATCCAACTAAAAGAAGAACTCATAATGAACTCTTTCAAAACCCTAGATGGACGAGGAGCCTCTGTCCACATCTCTGGTGGACCGTGTATAACCATACAATACGTGACAAACATCATCATCCATGGTTTACACATACATGATTGTAAGCAAGGTGGGAACACTTACGTACGAGATTCTCCAGAGCATTATGGGTGGCGTACGTTATCGGACGGTGACGGTGTTTCGATATTCGGTGGGAGCCACGTGTGGGTTGATCATTGCTCGCTCTCGAATTGTAACGATGGGTTGATTGATGCGATCCGTGGATCGACGGCTATAACGATTTCTAATAATTACTTGACGCATCACAATAAGGTTATGTTATTGGGACATAGTGATACTTATGAACAAGACAAGAATATGCAAGTCACTATCGCTTTTAACCACTTTGGAGAAGGCCTTGTCCAAAGAATGCCAAGGTATTTCATATGATCCACTTCATTTATTTTGCAATAAAAATATTGATTTTAGTATATATGTAATTATGTATAGCACAAACTATAAAGGTCAAGTATAGTGTCGGTGGACATTCTCTTAAAAGAAAATAGCAAAGCTAAAAATACAACTACTGCATTAAACTCTAAGTTGTCTGGTTCTTCTTCTACTTTAGAGCATTTCTACTTTAAGAGCACGATTAATCTCGGGTTCTTAAGGCAGATTCTTATAGCGGAAACTAAGAAACTGTTTCTTAACTTTTAATTAAAACGTTAAGATTTGGTTCTTAAATAAGGATTTTCAGAACCGGTTCTTAGCGTTTTTATTTAAAAGTTAAGAAATACTTTCTTAGTTTCCGCTAAGAACCTCGTCTTAAGAACCCGGGTTAATCATGGTGTTATCAACTCCAAAATAGTTGGGTTAAGTTGAGTTCACATTTTGCTAGTATTTTATTTATTTATCAAAAAAGAAATATTAGTTTTTAGTATACTTATATTTGTGGATATTTGTGATTATGTAGCACAAAACAAACTATAAAGGTTAAGTATAGTGTCGGTGGACATTCTCTTGAGAGAAAAAAGCAAAGCTAAAAATACAATTACTGCATTAAACTCTTAAGATGGATCAACTGAAATAACTATGCTGTCTTAGTCAGTTCTAAAATAGTTGGGTTAGTTGAGTTCAAATTTTTCTAATATTTTAGTTTTAGATGTAGATCAATTCAGAGAATAAATTTAATTCTATAAGTAGAGTATGTAAATTTTGATTTAAACAATGTAAGGAGTGTATATAATATGTAGATGTCGACATGGATATTTCCATGTGGTGAATAATGACTATACACATTGGGAAATGTATGCAATTGGAGGAAGTGCTAATCCTACCATCAACTCTCAAGGCAACCGTTTTCTTGCTCCTGATGACTCTTTTAGCAAAGAGGTATTCCAGTTCTTCTAAACTCAGCTTCAACTAATTACACAATCAATGTGATTCGATTCAAAATTTTATACTAATATAACTTATGGTTTTGTGGTAAATCTAGGTGACAAAGCATGAGGATGCGCCCGAAAGCGAATGGAGTCACTGGAACTGGAGATCAGAAGGAGATCTAATGCTTAACGGTGCATTCTTTACACTCTCTGGAGCTGGGCCAACTAAATCGTCAAGCTATTCGAGAGCCTCAAGCTTAGCTGCTAGACCGTCTTCTAATGTTGGTGAGATAACTATAGCATCTGGTGCACTCAGCTGCAAAAGAGGTTCCCATTGTTGATCATAGTCCCACCAACGTCTATGTAATTGTGTGTATATATAATATAATGAAACCAGCTATTCAAAGCTAGTTGTGTAATAATCTTATGAAAAAAGTGAAGAAGAGTTGATCACATTTTACTATATATAGAGATAAGCAAAACCAAAAAAGGTATTGTTTTATCTACATTAGTACTGCACCAATATTAGATCAATTTGGACAACAAAACAAAAGCATATCACTAAACCGGATCTTCCACTTACTTTCTACGGTTTGATTTCTTCTTCTGCCTACTTTTAACTGGCTCCTCGTTGATAGGCACTGGTAAGACGGTTCCTTCACGTATACCATCTGAATCTGATGACATATTCTTTAGTGTTTTCTGTGCTTCAACAAAAATCCTTATATCTCTTATCTGTTACAAATCCATTACCATCACTTGTTATTTGTTAAATGTTAACAGCAACAAAAAAACCTCGGTGAGTATAGAATCTTACCTGTTCTTCAAGATCAACTATAGTCTCGTCTTTTGATGTCAGCAATGCAGCTTCCCTGGATATACATCAAAAGTCAATTGATGATATTGTTTATGTAAACATGTTTAGCAAGAGAGAACATCTTTCACCTCTCTTCTATTGCCTTAGCCATTTTCCGCCAGGTATCCTGCTCTTTTATAAGCTTTCTGTTAACCTGAACCAAAAATTTTAATAGTTTACAGAGCATAAGGAAACATTTCAAGCATGGAAGAGTGATCAAAAGAGAAGAAGGCCTAGAGAGTCTCACTCACCTCAGTGATTTCAGTTTTTTCCTCTTCGCATTTATCAATCTCATTCTGAAGCTCCTGCATCTTGTTAACAACAGTCTGCTCAACTGCTTCAGCAATACTACTTTCCTGCTTGCTTCTCGCCTCGACAATCAGAGATTCATAGTACTGATGAAAGACATCACAATCGTGATAAGTAATTGACACCTCTTTGCACAGACCATGAGATAAACTAAGAAGAGATAGAAACACTTGCCTGTCGCTGTGCCTTCAGCTGACTTGCAAGAAGGTCATTATACTCGGTTACAATCTGTTCCATAAAAACTTAGTCAGACAAATAACATAATCATGAAAGCTTCTAAGATTCACTTTATGAAGGAGATTTTGATTAAGGGTGGTTAAAACCATACTGAATCAACTTTGCTGTTGAAGATGGCACCGCTAATCCCTGTATCCTCACTACACTCACAGAGACCACAGTCTCCTTCGTGTGACAGACAGCGGCTGTTCATCTCTACCGACTTTCCATCTATTTTTGAATGGTTTAACCTATGAACATAGTTGTCACCAACATAATCCCAGATTTGTTGTGTTCGCAAATCCAGAGAATAGCAATGATGTGTTTCTTTCCAGTGCCTGATAGAGTGTCCTTCCTTGTATCTACAATTGGAAAACATAATAAAATCCACAGTGAAGGAAACTTCCACCTCTCAGGAAGATATAGGTGTGTTTATAATTTCAGGTTATCTAAATCGTTTTACAAGCAAACAAGCCTTACCTTCCACAGCCTAAGAAGCCACAGACAAGGCACGCCCATACATTGTCTGTTTTTCCACAAATGGAGCAGCTTATTATATCATCTTGTTGTTGACACAATCGACAAACCTACAAACGAAAAACAAGCCAAGGTACTTGTTAAGAACTAGATGAGTCAAGATTCATTATACGCCAGAAATATGCAAGGATCAAAGCTCTAAAACATATGAAACAAGGAGAGTAACTCACCTGACAAGAGAGATAAGTCCATTTTGAAGTGCAAGAACACTGAAACGAGTGATCACAAAGAGTGCTGAGGATACCACTGGTGTCAGGATCTAATCTCTCTGCATGAGTCAAATTCCAAACACTGACATTAAGCAACAACAAAAAGGAAGCTAAAGCACTCAAAAACCTTCTTTAGCACAAACTCTCACCAAGACAGATAGGACAAGTAGGCAACTCGGTAAATCCAACAGGTGAAGAAGCAGCAAGCTCATCAAACTCAGTATTTTCCACCGTAAGTACATATAGAATATGACACACCTCAGCCTATAAAAACTCAAGCAAAAAAAAATGCTTACTTTCATCTTGAATACAATAAACTAACAAACAAAAACGAAATCTCCTCTCCAATATTACAATACCTCCGAAGGTGCATACTTCCTCCCATTCAAATTCTTATGAAACCTATCCGCTGCGTCATGATCCGAAAGTGTGATCAATACACTATACCTATCTTCCATCCCATCGTTCCTAAAGATTATCAAGAAAGAACCAAATCCGTTTTTCTTTTCTTTTAACAACTAATTTTATCTATATAAAATGTATCATTACATATGAGATAACATACTTTCAACCAAATGTATATAAAATTAACAGAAATATTACAATACATAAAATAAAATCTGAAGAAACTATCTTGATGCCATCTTTACGAACCAAATCAGTTTTTATCCCTTTTTTGTTCTTTTTTTTCTTTAAATTATCTTTTTTTCCAGAGTTCTTGCTAGGGGAAAAAAAACCGGACCAAAACCGAAACACTCAAATACCGAACGGTTCTTATATTATATATCCCCAGAACCGAATGGATAACGGAATATATAACAATATTAATTGTATTATATATATATAAAACATATCTAACTATATGATTTTAATTTAAAAATCTATTAAAAGTATCAAGAATAGTTGAAGATAACTAAATTATTATAAAGTATCTGAATTACCCAAAAGTATTTAAATCGTAATTATTTGATATTTTACCCTAAATAACCGATATTTTACCTGAATTACCCAAACTATCCCAACCCGAACGAAATGAGAACCGGATTTTTTGGTATCTCCCCCTAGTTTTACTGAACAAAACCGTACCCAAAACTATCCCAACCAAAATGAACCAAAATAGGTCGTAAATGGATCCTCTAACCCCTACCTGAACTATCCGAAACCCCGAAATACCCAAACCGATACCCGAAATGCCCGGGCCTAGTTCTTGCAAAGAGAACTCTCGCATACCTGATGAAGAGGATCTGGGAGACATGTGCGATTTGTGAATCACAGAATCGGATAAAATCGAGGGAGGAGAAGTAATTAGGGACGGCGACGACGAAGAGAGTGGTTGATCGGGAGCTAGGGCTTGGGAGAGAGCTGTGCGATGAGTTTCGGTAGAGATGGATGAGGCCTTTGCGTTCGGTGAGTTTGAGACCCGGTTGTATGAGCTTGTTATCATCGGGACGATGGGATCTTCTAGAAGGTGCGGCGTAGATGAAACCGGATTCTTCGTCTTCGATGGAGATTGGATTCTCCGAGTCGACGGAGTGGACTCTGAGGATGAACATCGCGAGATTTTTGAGCGCTTCGTTCTCGGGTGATGATGTCTACTGTATATTCTTATGGGCTTTTCTTGTTTTTTTATAATTTTTCGTTTAAGTTAATGGGCTTTTTGAAGTTAATGGGCCTTTTATTTTATGTTTTGGGCCCTTTAAGGGTTTAAGCACAAAAAGAGAAGAGCTGGAATTCTGTAAGTTGTATTTTATCTTCTTTTTGTTATGGGAAAATGATATATAAATGTGAAACCTGTATACTCCCTCTGTCCTAAAAGATAAATGTTTAAAGTAGAAGTATTTAAAAAAAAAAATACATTTTTGAAGTTTTCTGTAACAATTTTTATTAGTTAATAATAGTGAATTGTAAGTTGATGGGCCTTTTTATTTTAAGTTTTCGGCCCTTTTAGGGTTTAAGCACACAAAAAAAAGAGCTGGAATACTATAAGTTTATTTTTTTATCTTTTTTTTTTTGGTGGGAGAATGATATAGAAATGTGAAACCTGTATACTACCTCTGTCCACAAAGATAAAAGTTCTAAAACAGAAGCTTATGTTAAAAAAAAAAAAAATACATGTTTGAAGTTTTCTATGTAATTTTACTAGTTAATAATGGTGAATTGTAAATTTTTCAAAAAATTAAAAATGTTATTTATTTAGAATGATGGGAAATTAGGTAACACATGAAATAATAAATTTATTATCAGAATCTATTATAATTTTTAATATGTATAAACACATAAACATATTTTTTTGTACCAATGAAGCATTTGTTTTCATTTTGACCAAGTTCAAAGACTATTTTAGAAGGCTTGCACCAACTGCCCGCCACAAATGAAAGCTTGTGAGCAGCTAAACGTCATTATTTATTGGTTTTGTTGAGTTCTAATCTATCTTATTCAAATCAATATGAAGGATTTAAGAGAGAAAAAATCCAACAAAAGCTAAGTGTTTTTTCAAAGGCAAATGTCTTTATCAACAAAAAGAAGAAGGAAGATAATTCCAACAATTAAGGACTCGGTCTCGGGTCGTGGTTGGTTCCGAAGATCAAGGGAGGATAGTGAGGTCAACGGTCATCCCGGTTCTTGAGTTGGTCAGCCATTTTGGGTGTACGTTTTGATTTTGAATTTTATATATAACTATATGTTTTACGCATGTCATTTTCTTTTCGTGTTAAGAACTTTTGTTGAAACAACAACAAAAACTTTGGAGAATATACAATAAAGAATCACGAAAGATCGGTGACAGTTTTCTTTGTAGACTTTTTGTCAATGCACACACATCTTGTGGATATCTACTACCGTTTATTATAAGTACATTGCTTATTCATTATACTTTGCAAAATACAAATCTATCCAAAGTCTAATTAAACTCTAAGGATAAGAACATGGCACATCAATCTCCAGTGCTTCAAAAGTTCCAAGTGGAATGTAAACAATATATAATAGAAACTGTTAAACTATATATTAATTTAAAAATGCTGATATGTTGGGAAGAACCTTGCATGAAATCATCAAATCCATTAGTTTATGTTACACTTTTCACTTTTATCTTTCATGTAAACTTATCCACAAGTTTTGGATTGTGTTGCTTCGTTTTCTTAAAGGGTCATTTGTGAATACTAAAAGCCGGATCGTGATTAAATTATTGAACATACTTACATGTCGAGCTGATGAAAGGAAAGCACCTCAACATTATATAATCAAGTATGTAAATATTATGTAACTAAAAGTGCACATAAACTATAAAACTTTTAGTTACGCCATTAAACATTCATTTTGCGGTAGTTGGAATGATTATGGCCTCATGAGATGTCTACATTGTTAATCAACACGGAATTTAATTTTGTTGAAACATATATGTTATAGTTTTGGATCGGAATGCGTTTAGTTATTCAGATTCATGTTAAGGACTTGGATCCGTGTCATCATATTCATATCAGTGGCTAAATTTGACAGCTATGACTGAATCATATTTGGCTGCCATACGCGGCGAACTTTCTTTCCATCTCCGTGATTAACATTTCCTCAAACTCCTTTGATGCTCATGAATATGATCAACCATTTTTGTGATAATTTTATAATAAAGAGCAACAAAATCCAGTGGCAATAATAAATGAATGGGAGAGCCCGGAGAGTTACAAGTGGCTAGACAAGAGGGCATGAGAGTGGATGAGGATAAACAGCCACGTAGATGAGGAGGTGGCTCTTGGGAAGAGGCAAGGGTCGGTTTACTTCAATAACCGGCCTTTCTCAAGTTTAAAATAGTCATATTTCAACTCTTTTTTCTTTGTTGTAGAGCAAACTTGTGGATCGGCTTTATCACTTTTTCCACGTAGGATCAACAAAAAAACATAAACATCTGCGACCTTATCGGGACAACCATCATATACATGGTATCAAAAGTAACTATTGTTTAGTTGTCATCCCCAAAAAAAACATTACGAAAACAATACTACTTATTTACTAGTCACTTTTAGTGGAAATTTAAAAGTAATAATGGAATATAATATCGGTGTATGAAGGTCCAGTTCAACACATAATATATTGCCAAAGATCTCTTGGTTAGATCTTGTTGGTATAGCTTTTAGGAATACAAAACTATATTCTTAAAACAACGTATTTTATAAGATGTGGTCTTTCTTTTTGACTAAATTATATGAGGTGTTCTTGTGGTTGTCTTATAAGGCAATGCGGCTATTCGAAAATGTTTGAGGCATGTTAATTCCACCACGTGAAAGTTTTACAATAAGAATGTGTTCAGTCTTACCGAACACTTTTTACTTAACATATAGTATCTAAGCGTGGTAAAATAAATGTGTTTGTTCCAATGAGTTTAGATACATATGAGTTCGACTTCAGTGACGTGCCTCTGTCTAATCTAATAAAATTTTGGATTTAAGGAAAAAAATGGTTTACCTCATGAAAAAAACATTTCGATGCCTCTGTATTTTCGTATTATATGTTGTTTAATTTATCATATTTTTTTTTACTTTTCTAGCTTATAATATTTGAAAATAAAACAACATAATCTTCGCATATAAATTATGTACTAGATTATTTACAAAGTTAAACAAATTTTTCTAAATGAATTTTTATATAAGATAGTGTATATATTTAGAAACATTTACCCAGGTGAACCAAACCATACCAAACTGAAAAAAACGAAAGCAAAATTAAACGAAAATTTATAAATAATCGACCATATCATATATCTTTAGAACAAAAAATAGAAATCGAATCGAGAACCAAATGGATATTAAATTTTTGTAAATATAAATTATATATAATATTTAAATACTAAATATCCTTAAAAAAACTATTTATAAACCAAATTAGGCAAAAAATGAATTACCGGAATATTTTATACTCAAAATATTAAAATATTAAAATGAGCTGATAGTTAAATTGTAGGATTTACATTTAAAATTAAATAAAAACATATCATATGCATTGTTAGAATTTGTAAAATAAACAAACATATATACTATTAAAATATCTAACCCATTTAGACCTTTTATCTTTATATCAATACGATTAATCATTTAGTTCATGTATAAAACTGTAATATAAAATTTTAATATTTGATTGCATAAATTATATTTAAATCATTTAGTTCATGTAACTCTAACAATAAATCTCTATGATCTCTAATATATTTAATATTTTTACATAAATTGGAAACGTAATCAATTATATAATACATTATGGAAAGTAATAAGTGAGTTCATTTAAATTATAAAGTATTTATATAGTTAGAGAAATATAAGGAAATACCAAAAAATATTAGTCTAATGAAAGAGTTCAAACAATTTGTATAAGTAAATTTTTTAGGATTTCTTCTCTTTTAATAGTATAGATATATGAACTAATAGAGATGATTTGATATATGGGCTGTTATTTGTTCTTTTTGTCAATATATTAAAACAGAAAACAAACATTCAATTAATCCCCGATCTAGGTTGGTGTTAAAGACAACCCTTAATTATTTAATGACTCATCATGACTTAATGAGAGTCGATACAGTAAATACAAATCCCTAAACACCTTAAAATACAGTTCAATATGTTAAAATCCAATTCATTCTAGGTTACAAAAATACAGAGAATCAAATACGCGCGTGGAGTAAGTGGGGTGTTA